CAAGAGCGATGTTTTTTAAGATGACACTAGAGGAAAAGTAGCAAATTCTTAGTGTCCAATTGGGCAAGGTTTGTGAGCCCTCATCTGCACTACTACATAGAGCTTTTCTTCAAGGAAAATAAGTTTATCATTAGCAAAGGTACAAAATAACTTACTAGGATAGGCAGAAGACTTAATAACCTATCATTGGAGCAGCTTTATAAAATTAATTTGGTGGTTAAATAAACATCAGGAAAGCAGAATAGTTATATAAGCAAACAGACAGGACTGGCACAATAATAAGACAGCAGGCACTGGTCAGAAATTAATTAAGGGTGGAAACTGAAAGATGAGGTCTAGCCATTATAGCAATAACTTCTGAAAGATTAACTGTTCCAGAGTAAAGAGGCAAAATTCATACAAACACTTTACAAACTATGAAAATATACAATTGTTTACTTAAAAACTTGAACGGGCTTTGTTTGCATTCCTTTGTTTCTGTCTGATGAATTTATCTGCAAGTATAAATGCCCAGGTGGACAACTCTAGGTTCTAGAGGACCATCAAGTTTTCTGAGAAGAGCTACATCATAACCAGCCTTTTCATTATGACAGAGAAGTCATCCGTAAATTAGAGGCAGGAACAAAAGAATATATAGGCTGACTATTTTCAATGGGATGTGTATGCAGACTTACACAGAAAAGGATGTAATTTCACCATCTAACTCATGTTAAAATTAGCTAAAGTTGCATGACCTGACAGTACAAATCTGAGAACCAAAATTGCCCTCAAGCTGTTTGAAATAATGCTTGATATGCCAGAAGTTAAGGTGAACACAATAATCATAGAATATGCTGAGTCAGAAGGGACCCATCAGGATGATTGAGTCCAACTCCTGGCTCTGCACAGGAGACCCCAAGAATGACTCCCTGTGCCATTTCCTTGTGTGCTGTCACTGGTCACAAGAGAGATTAGTGCCTGCCCCTCTTATCCCCATCATGAGCATGTTGAAGACCACAGTGAGATTTCAACAGAGTGAAAAAGTGTTTAATTAAGGGCTTAACTTTTTGTTTTAGACACTCCTAGTCTCCTTAAAAGATTCAAAAGATTTCTTGTAAGCTAACATTAGTTTTCTACTTACACTGACAAACACATTTCACAGGTAATCAAAAGCCATATAAATGAATTTGGCTTTAGTTAGGCAGACTCACAGAAAAGTGTTGTAGAGAAATTTTCATCGAAGTTTACTTGATTCTGCATGGTGGGATATACGCAAGAAACCTCTTTGAAGAAAACAGACCATAACAGCCATCATCTCTACTGAAGAATATTGTTTAATACAAAAAGATGCAGAAAAAATCAACCAGGATACAATGATGTTTAAAACAGATTGCATCAATGATACAAACCATAACACAAGTCCACTTTCTTAACATTGTTAAAGCAAGGAAGAAACTTTCTCGTTCCATTCATTTTAACATTTTTCTGTGTCTAATTAATTCATTAAATTTAAGCAATAGGTTCTGGCTGAAAGTTCCATATTTTCATTTGAACTCCTAAGAAATTCATCACAGAAGACCCCTTAGATCTTACTTCACTAAATTCAAGCGAAGTCAGGATTCCTTCAAAACCCACAATTCCTTCATATGCAGTGAATCAAAAACGTAAACATTGGCTTATTTCTGATCTTCTGATCTAAGTTTTGTCCAACATGCTCAGATCATTCATTAAAAAAAAATATGCTTAGTAACTGTTCAAAAAGCGGATTAAATCCTTTAACACATTATTACTGCACTGCCTCAATAAGCCCTTAGTCTACCAAAAAGGATATTTACTGTAAATATGGTACTAGAACCAGCTGCATCACATTTATGCAAAAAGAAAACATACTGAATTGTTTAGAAAAAGAGGCATAATATAGTGGCAATTGCTTTCCCCTATACTTCTGAATTAAGAGTTTGAAATACTATGCTTGAAGTCCCATAAAGCTTGGTATGTCTTGGGAGCAGCACTCCTTGCTTAATTTGGGCCAGGCTCCTTTTTCCACTTTGAAGGAACAAAATGAGACTTTAATAGTTCCAGGAGCCTCTAGGTAGTTGCAAACTGAGGGTTCTAAAGTATTCATATGGGCAGAGCTCAGCCCATAGTATAAAGCATATTTTAGGGAGACTGCCTTGTAAACCAAGTTTGGACCATCTCTCCTCCTACTCATGCAGAAATAAAACCAAACAATTTTATTCCGCTCTCTCACTGCCTCCAGTTCAAATTTTTATGTTTTTATATGTATTTATATGTAATTATGAGACCCTTCTTGATTTAATAGCATGCAAGTGAATTGCAGTTTTGATCCTTTAGGGATATCCATGACTCAGAGCAAGTCAAAATGGGAAAGTCACAGTATACAAGAGTGCAAAGACTAATTTATTATAATTTATCATAAACATTTCAGAACTGTGTAGTATTTAGGTTCAAGAGGGGCTTTGGTACAAAAGAAATAAAACCCACCCCTCTGTCTCACTCACCCCAAAAGTAATAGGATTCCAAATCCCAGCAATTTCAGACATTCGTTCCATGCAGAACTATGTAGCTCAGGGCTTTTAGCCAGGAAATTCTGCAAATGTGTCCTCAGATTAAAAGGTGCATGCAACCCAATCATGCTACAGCTTTATTTCGAATGCTTGCACTTGGCAATGACTCTGTATGAAGATGTCCTGTAATTTTTGGCTTCTGGATAGTTTGTACTAGAAAAGCATTTTGGCACAATTGGCATCTACTGTTTAATCTCTCAAAAGAGCATGGAAATAAATCCCTTTAATTTGTCTTAGGCATTTACGTCTTGAAATGTTTAAGATTAATTTTTATAACATGAACTAAATATATAGCCTGAACTAACTTCCTATTCAGCCAGGATGTTCTTCCTAGATCAAAGATGAGGATTCAGAAAGAATGCAATGAAATTGCATCAGAAAAAATAGCTTACTGTTTGGCATTGCTATGCAGAGGTTAAAGACATGTCTACATGGCAGCCAAGAAGTATGATTTAAAGCTTGTTTGAGGATGTGTGCACAAGCTGCAACTAGCTGTCCCAGTGATGATAAACATATAGCCTTAACAGAGCAAAGTGTGGATTGAAAACTTCATCTGAAAATTTGGGCAAATATTTAGGTGGCTAAGCTGCACTGAACTCCAAGCTGCCACATCTAACACTTTATTTGTAGGATTTAAATTTCTATCTAGGCATAATGACAAAAAAATTATGACAAGACTTTGTTCTAAGTATTTAATGAATTCAAACAGTGGGAGTGAAATAGGGAGTGGGAAGTGAGAGTACTACTGGATCTTTTAATCTGAAACTCCATTTAATCAATAAAACTATACTGCTTAATTTCTGCCATACTTATGCTTCCAGAAAAATCTCTACCTTCCATGATTTCTTGTTGCAGTCACTGAGAGTTATTCAGAAAATGTTTTTGAACTAGGGTTTTTCATAAGAAATTTCTGAAAATAATTCAGACGTGCTCTTCCTTAATTGACTGAATCCATAGCCTGAAAAACAACCTTGAAAACCTGGAATAATAGTGCCTGCTTGCTTCAACAGACACACCCATGATTGTGTGCTTTAATTTTTCAACAAGATGTGGAGGTAGGGCCTGAGGAAACGCATAAAAATGTTTGGTTTGGCTTTCTGGCAGATTTCCCCAGCTCAAGTGCATGAAAAGCACTGAGGATGCAAGATCCTGCTAAGTTTCCATAGAGCGCCTGACTTGAACACCACAGAACATTCTGTACATCCCAAAGCGGAGGATCGTATTGCTGTGCTCACTCTGGGGACAGCAACAAGCAGCAGCAACTGCAGGTCATCAAATGGAAACTGGAAATCTGCCATCTTCTAATTAGTTGCTCTCTCCTTCATAATAATCCTATTTAAAATCCTATAAAATGCAAGGTCATGTTTGCTGCACAAGCTCAGATAATGTCAAGCCAAATTTTTAATCATGTCATTAGCCAGAAACACCTTTTTAGATGGAATAAATATCACGTCCTCATTAAAATTAGGGCATAAAATACATGGGCAGGTTCTGTTCTTTCCTATTCTTAATCATTGTCCAGATGAACACAAATTTTTCATAGCTGAACCAATTTGTTTTAGCTAAAGTCAACAGCTTTTAACAACAGTTGAATAATGGTTTTGGCCTGAAATTCCAGTCATTCAGATTGAAGAACCAAAATCTCATTCTTCTTGTACCTTATGCAAAGATATTTTAAACCACTCTAGTTTTCAGTGATTCCAACCAAACTCCTGTGTAAGCAATCACAGAATGCATTTTAAAAGCAAATAATGCCAACTCAAAGTACACAATGCCAACCATGTACAACAAAGTGTACACAAGACTTAAAGCAAAGGATATCGAAAGCATCAAAGCCTTACCACCATTTCACAGATTGTTGCAGAACTATGAAAGACACAGCAAATGTATGACTTAGTGGAACAGTAAAATCAGTTCCTTAATCAGGAGCAGAACACAGGTCTGACTCCTAATCCATCAGCATGAAGGAAAATGACCTTATCTGGATCTAAAAGGAAGATTTCTCATATCTGGTCCCTTCCCATCTTCCACACTTCCACCATCACACCATGTCACTACTTGTTCAGGATGCTGGATTGAAATCAGGATGCTGATTCTCCTTGCTCTGCCATTAAAAAAACAAAACAAAACAAAACCACAAAACTAACAAACAAACAAACAAGAATACCCAAGAAACCCAGTTAACTGCAGTGGACAGGTTCATATTAATACAAATTAATAAGGTTCTCCTGTAGATATGCTGCAGTATATTGTGTAATATAATATAATCCAAGTAATCTGAGCCCTTGCTACAGCTACTAAATCATTGCCAAAAAAGTGGGGAAAAACTGCCAACTTTATGTGCAAATTATGAAGTGTGTAAATTCACAAGATTCTGCCTTATTGACAGAGGTAAACTCTTTTTGAAAGAGACTGATTTAGATAGCCGATTTCTTTAAATGCATTTATTTTACCTTGCAGGCGTCATCCATTTGGGCAGGAAATTAAATTTTCAGCCAGTGATCTTTTTCACAACACCTCTTAAAATTATATTTTTGTATGGAATGCAAGGAAACCTCTGTATGAATGCACCTCAAGAAAAAGTTTACAATGCCTGACAATACCCCAAATATTTCAGTAGGTAAGGAGCATACAGGCCTTGGCATTGAGTCAAAACTCCAAGTCCCAACTCACAAAACAGCACAGAGCTGTATGCAGAATTTGACAGGTCTGGGGCTTAAACCTCAGGCAGACAGGCAAGCAGCCAACCTTTCAAGAACTACCTCTGGCTGCTGTAGATTTCCCAGCTCTCAGTCTGGACCTTTCGTCACCCAGTGGACCATCCCTCTCCAGTGGTTAGTGTTCTACAGGAGTGTCTTGGGCAATTCCTCTCAACACTCTTCTCAGTCTTTTAGGCCCACTCCTTAGTTCTACTCCTCTCCAGGGGCTACAGCTCTCCCTTATTCTCTGACTCTGGAAAAAAAGAGAGGCGTTTGAGACTTCCCAGCCATACAACAGATTTCTTTCTCAAACTTGCAACATTTAGACCTCTTTAACCTACTAGAGTTTAACAATCATGACATGTAGCATCAGCATTGCCAGGCATGAACAGGATTACTAAATAGGGAGGAAAGGGACCTTGTTACTTTTTTCTAATGTGTTCTCAGATAGGGGGAAAAATAGAAGCTGTTCTACACCTGGAAATAATCCCACACCAAGCTGCTCTCCTACCTCATCATCATCCCAACTCTGCACTCAGTTTAAAGGATATTTCTCTCTGTGCAGGCTGTGATTGTGACAGGATCTTCTAAATTTTCTAAAGGAAGCATTCTCTGGAAAGATTTGACAATTATTTTTCCAATGAAAAGCGACCAAATGGAATACACTCATGAAAAGTCATTCTAGTTAAGTGCTCCCTCCAACCTACCCCTTTTGCCATAAACCAGTACACTTTTGGTAAATGCTGTGAGTTGTTTATTTAAAAAAAAAACCAAAAACAACAGTTCTCCAGAAGCCATTTGTAAACCTAAGACATGCTTCAGATTTCAAAATTTTTGGGAAGTTTTTGGTATTTATTTCCACTTTTCTCATAAAAGCTTTTATACTTGCATATGTTTGCCCTCTTATTTCTTATTATCGAGCAAAACTAATGACAAGAAATTGTTAAAAATTCAGCTCATAACACCTTAAACTCTTTTAAACCTAAAGAAAGGGAAAAGGAATAAAATCATTGACAAAGTGACAAAGCAGTGATAGCATGTTTTACCAGTCAATTCTAACAGAGTTAGAATTGTTAGATTAGAATTAGTTAGATTTCACTTGTTCCACTGAGAAAAATACATTTACTCACCATCCTTTCTTAGTTTTAATACATTTTGTCAAGAGGATTATTTTCATACTAGAAACACACCTTCATTTTTCTTTTATAGTGTACTGTAAAAATACCTATATTTAGTATCATGAATTAGTCTGTGTTACCAGCAAGGAGAACCAGTCTCTTGAGAAGTGTTTGTTTGTTTGTTTGGGGTTTTTTTGGCAGATTCCTAAAATTTGTCTTACTAACAAACATACATGACATCTGAATTGATGCTGCTTATGTCACGTGGTGACCAGAAGTTGTTGGATAAATATAGCAAGTCTAGTAATTTAAGAATGCCAGAACAATCCTGATAGCTATAAATAACTGGCATGTCCTGCACTGTGACCATATTGTTTAATTCTCTCACCCTGCAAGCACGGGGATGCACTTCTGATATGGAAATGGTCAGTGTGCCCAGAATTTGTCTGGCAGTGCTAAGGGGCCCAGGCCTAAAACCAAATCATGTTAGGGCAGATATAGCAATTTAACAGTATAGCTGATCAATTCCCACCACCCAGGAACATTGCCTTGACTTAGGAGCACGGATGTAGACAGTGAAGCCACACTGACCATTAATAATGAATGTGTGACATCACACTTCTGTTTCTACAGAAAACATTCATGACATTTCAGAGATACTACATTACTAGAGCTCTATTTCCTCTTTATTTAGTATATTCATGGAGAAGGGCAAGTCAATGAAAAGCTGTCTGAATTAATTTTTGGAAAGGAAACAATAAAAAAAAGGAAGCAGAATTGAAAGGCAAGTGAAAGATGTCACTTTTCAGTTTTCTCCAGACTTGGCCTGGAAACGTTTATCTTTAGGATCATCTTTGTAGTCCTGTAGCACTTGAATGTCTTTGCTGCCTTTACAGTTATATCTTAAGCATAAAAGTACAAATACAACATACAGATTTCTCAGGCATTCTTTTGCACTCAAGGTCATGAGTTTTCTTAGCTGTCGCTAAAACTTTTTTGATTTGAGATCATTATAGGACCTGGGAAGAAATAATGTTTTTTCCATTTAAAAAGGTAGATATAGTAAAAGTAATTTTTCTGGTTAGCAAAAAAAAGTAAGGAAGAATTTAAACTTATGGTTACATCATTAGGAATCTATATTTCAGGGCTGCGACCTTACAGCTGCAAAATATAGTTGTCGTTTTATTTCATGAATATTTGTCCAAACATTTTCTTTCATTTTGATCCAAATACTTTCACACCCACTGAGTTAGACTTTGACTTTCTGGTTTGAACAAACTAAAAATTTCAATCAGGTCCTCAGCTACAGTAAATTCATGTAGCTCAACAATGGGGCAAATCACTGACTTCAATGGAGCTACACCGATTAACACCAGGCAAGGATTGAATCCTGATCAAATTGGAACTCAATTGGAATTGCTGTGCTTCACCTGGTGTTTATTCACACCTCACATCAAACCATGCAAAGCTATGAATTTTGCATGATTCTGATCCAAAGCCACACACCATATATGCTTAAAATTGAGTTCAGGTCACTCAGGAGTTGCACAATGCTAAGCAAATCTTTTGATAAATATGGTTTGCGTTACTAGTTTGTAACGAAACTCCACACCAGGTGACTTTTGTGTGGTCTGGTGTTTCATTGTGAACATTTTGCACTGCTATAATGAAACATGATTTCCAAGACAACTAGAGGATAAAAAAGTTTCTATTCAATGTTTTACCCATGAGTTTTGCAATATGCACACAAACCATGACCACAACGTTAAACTCCTGATGACTAAAATTTGAAACCAAATTCCCTATTAAAGCACTTAAGTAATGTTGGTGTGGTCTTCAGAATGACCTGCAGCTCTTCTTATTGGAAGAACTGCAAGTCAAATCACTCTGCCTTAGGCCTTTACATAGTCTGGGGTTTCATCAGAGTTTGTCAAGGTATTGACCAGCTTTTCAGAGTTTATCAAAAATACCTGAAAATGCAGGTGGCCATCTAGGGCTAGAAGAGTGTAGAGCTGGATGCTTTAGAAAGGGACAGAAAAGATCCAGTGTGTAGAGCTCACCCAGTATTGGCCAAGGAACAAGAGGCTGACAGAAGCCCTTTATCTCTCTCTGGAGATTTGATGGCACTCACATATCCAGGCATGTGAGATCATGAGCCTGGAACATAACATTGCTTAATCTAGACAAACGTATTTGTATATGCTCACACATTTATCACATGTTCCTAAAGCTGCTGCCTTGTCTTTTCCATGCAAGAAACATGTATGTCTGTCACAGCAAGACAGATGCCTCCAAGAAGCTTCAAACTTACGGTATTTGCCCTGCACACAATTTGTGCATGTGGGCAAGATTTGATTATGTGATTATGCACAAGCAAAATGTACATCTGGGATTTCTGGGTTTCTCTGCACAATATTTTCAGTAGAAAAAGAAGTTATAATGAGGAAAAGTGTGACAAATGACAGCCTTATTCTAGTGAGGCTTACAACATTGCTTACAGCTGCTTTCACTGTGCTCAAAAGAGAAAAACAAGGACAAGACAAAGGTATTTCCATTCAGATGACTCCATAATGTGGTGGGTGGCAATAAATTGCTTCAAGTGAGGTGAATATAGTGTGTGGATGCTGCCCCACAGTACTACTGTCTAAGTTATAGTTTCCTACATGCTTGCCTGCCACACTGAGCCTTTTGGAAGAGATCACAGAATCACAGAATATGATGAGTTTGAAGGAACCCAGAAGGATCATTGAGTCAAACTCTTACCTCTGCACACAACATGCCCAAGAGTCACACCACGTGTCTGAGACCATCATGCAAATGCTTCTTGAACTCTATCAAGATCAAAAAAGAATTTATTGTTTAATACTTCTGATGAAGCTTTGGAGGAAGATGAGTGACCACCTCCTCAGAGATAGGCAGATGCAGCAACAGAGGCAACAACAATATTGGCTAGGGAAAAATTAAAGTCTATAGTGAGAGGGCAGCTGAACTTAGGCAATTTGAGTTAGATGGCAGTAAGGAAGAGAAAATCTCTAGGTTTCACATGGCTCAGTTCTATGTAAGAAATTTGCTATCTTTTTTTGAATGTAGCCTATGATGATGGAGTAGGATTTCAGAAGAGCTAAGGTACTAATAACTTCAACATGGAAGATCCTTAGACTTCCGAAGTTTTGTTGATGTAAAACGCCAAAATCTTAACATGGCTGAGCCATGCAGAATCTCTTTACTTGCAGTTTACTAAGCCACTTCAACTTAGCATCACTTTCTTAAACACATAATCCGGCACAAGACTGAACTCCTCAGAAGGCACAGCACCAAGGCCATCTTCTTAAAAATCCTTACTGTGAGAGGAAACATTATATTTTATTTATAGTTCAATGTTTATAGCACTCCCAAAGTACAGGAAGCCTAAGGGAAACCCTTTCCTCATCTGTGAAGTGTTGAATTTATACATTCCATCTTTTAACAAAGTGACACTGCACATTCCTACCTCTTAATTTAAAGATTTATCAAGATGAGGTTCATCAGATGAGAATAGAAGACCATACATCTGCATTATTCCCCAGCTACCAATAAAGATAAAATGCTGGGAAAGGGCAAACCAAGGGAATGAGTCCATGGACTTCTGCTCTCCAATTCCTTTCAAATAAGCCAGTGTGTCTCCTTGTATCTTTGAGACTATTTTCCTTAGCACCCAATTCCAATCACATCCTGCCATTCAGTGAGATTAAGTGTAAGCATTCACATCCTGGCCAATCTACTGAATGGTTCCATGTTATTACGATCTCCAGTAGTGATCTGACCATTAAACCAAGCTGTAAATTAGACAGATTGGATTAGCATTTTCCTCTAACAGAGTAGCATGCTTCTTTATTCAGTATAAGGACTTCATGCTGGCATGATTCTTTAGGCAAAAAGACAAGAATGTATTAAAATCAGCAATGGTACAGATGTTTGAACAAAGCATTGTATGTATCACTCATTTCTCCTGGAAGCATCTTGTGCTCTTTGGATTGTAGCCGTGCTGGTACTTGACTCTGTTTCACAGACGAAAGTGATGCAGGAACTGGAAGACATGATAAAAATAGCTAAGCTTTCCCCATTGGAATTTCAAAATGTGAGAGAGTGGAGAGAACACTTCCCCCATCCCCTGGGAAAATTAGTCCTATTATTGCCAGCACAAAATGCAACAACTTTTCTAGCATTAAATATTTCTCTGGGTCAAAATTACTTGAAGAAAGTATTTTATTTCCCAAAGACTTTCTATTTTGGGTTTTCAGTGTGGCCATTTACAGAGCAGGAGACTTTTTTTTTTTTTTGGTCACTGTACAGTGTTTAATTTTACTTAGGCTACCACCCCTTCCCAGTCTCATAAAAAGGTTTACATACAATAGATCACAGAGACCATAAACTAAAGACAAAGACCTACACAATACTGTTGAGATAATCCTTTGTGCTGTGCACATACCAGTGCTGTATAATATTTGAGGAAAAGCACAATAAACTATTTCAGACATCTGTTTTTAAGGTCGCAGAACACTACAATGTAAAAAGCAGATGCTACAAAGCATTCACATTTCCACCAACTTTAAATGATCCTGGGCATTCAGGGGAGTTCACCAAACTGAGTAAGTGCTCTCCCAACTGACAACAGTAGCACAATGTTAAATGAGACAGATTCTCATGCTGCCAGTATGTTGTACTGTCATGATTTCTTTGTTCCACACACGATGAAAAAGGTGGTAAGTGGAGTTTGACAACCATGCATTTGCCTTATCGTAGTTGCTGTTAATTCTATTATTAGGTACTATATGAGACTTCAAGTCCTGTTTCAAAAAGCACAGCAACTGCTTAGTAGGATTTACACTGCTATCTCTATTCATCAGAGAGTGTAAATTCTAAATAAAACTGCTTTCTGTAGATATAGTTTGGTGCTTTCTTCCAGTATATTATATACTTTACAAAAACCAATTTAGGGATCATGGCATAATGAAGCTGAGACAAAGATAGCTGCTCAGCTATCTTGCTCCTTCTGCTTTTTTTTCTTTTCCTTAAATGAAAGGAAACAAAGGTTCCTGTTTGTTCTCTAAACCTCCTGCCCACTACACAGCATCCTCCATTGCATGCAGGCAAAGGTATGCATTGAAGTGAGGATAATTTGTGAACTTTTAATCCAAAGTGTAAATAGTAATTTGCCTTTAATGAGAAAGAGAACTGTAAGGTCTTTCAGGTCCAAGACACTTGTATACAATTTTAAAATATTCTTTCATCTCCTATCACTTTCTACCATCTTTTTGTACTCTGGAGTTCATGTTTGTTCATTATGACAAAGACTGTTGCAAAGTATCCAGGATTTCATGAAGACACTCTACCATGTCTTTGTCTTGTCATGAAGACAAAGATATTTTTCATCTCCTTTGCAGTACATCACTCAATAGTGGGATTTGTAGTGGGCTCCCTGACAGAGCTCTCCATAGTGATCTTACTGCACTTCAAATTCTAGCATGAAAACATTTTGAGGAGTTGTTGTTAGCCTTTTCTGTTTGTTGTTTTTTTCCTTTTTTTCTAAAGGCTTCTAAAGTATATTCTTCAAAGAAGCTCCGTCTTATGTTTACTTACTCCAAAATGAAGCAGTAATCTCCATACACCTAATCAGATGAAAAACATGTTGGGGTTTTTTTCTTATAGTTGTCAAAGAGAACCTGCTGTCCCTGCTTGTGCTATAAGTTGTCAGTCAATACTTGTCAGCAAGCTAAATCTTGAGGAGCTAAGGCTCTGCCTTACAGATTGTGTTCCTGAAGGTGATTATAATGGCAATTAACTAGAGCCTAGGTAATAATTCCTGAAACCTTGGCTCAATTCACTCTTACTCTGGAGCAGGTAAGTGGGAAACTACATCTGAATGAGCTTACCACATGGCAATACCCTAGGTAGTTTGGTAGTGAATAAGAATGTGCTTAAAGAGCCTGTTCTCAGGGCTCATATTCTCAACATTTAAATTGATTTAAATTAGGATTTTTATAAAATCCCAAATAAACTTGGGACTTTATAAAATATTTCAGTAGGAGTTTTTCTCTGAGAACATGTTTAATTAATCCGTATTCTGATGACAGTGCCATATCACCAGTATGGGAACAGGTCTGGCTACAGCCTCGTTCACCACACTTGTTCCCATGCATATGCTCCTGTGAATAACAGCTTGGAGGCAATATAAAAGTATTCTGAACAAACTTACCACTGATAAGTCCTGTTTTGATGAAAAAAATTACAAAAAAATCCAGACATCATCTTAACACAGGACTAGCTCAAAAAGGATTCAATGCCTTTATGACCAATTATGGTCAAAGAAGCTTTTGTTTTGATAAAAGCAGGTGTGACGATAGCTGTCTCCAGAAGGAGGATGTAATGTTTCCTATATGACATACCTTCTGTATTGTGTCTTGTTTTCCTGTGGTCTTTCTTTTCCAGGTTCTATTTGCCTCTCAAATCTTTTCTTGGGTGATATCCCATTTTTGTTTTATTGCTCTTTGTCCTTAGAATAGCAGACCATTTATACTATGTGTTGGTAAAATGTTGTTTTTATGGATGTTCTGTCTCCCTTGCTAAAGAGCAGAAAAATTAATTTACCAATCTGGCAGGATTGAAATTAAATGCAAAGGAGTCCCTTAAACAATGAATTTACAAGGGAAAAAATCTATTAAATAAACCTTAGATATTTGGCATTAAGATTTTTCTTGCTTGGTATATCTCGGACTAATGATGCATGATTCACTCTGAGTATTCATACATGTGAGACAAGGATTAAGAATACATGTTTTCTTTGTTATCCATCCTAGGTATTTTATATTCATATACTTTATATCTATGCAGAGTTAAGACAGGTGAGAGGGGTGCTTACCTACATATTCTGGAGGGGGAAAGTCAAAGCCACCCAACTATTCCCAGTACACCAGGTGAAGTTGCCTCTGCTGTACCCAGAGGAGGTGCTGCAGGTCCCTTGTTGCTCCTGAGCAATCACTGCCAGGTGGAAGACAATAGTTAATAAGAGTGGCATGAGGAAAGAGCAGAGCCTATGCCCCACAGACAAAATGTGTCTAGATATCAAAGCATCTCATCACAGTTTTGTCTGTGCACTGTGTATTCCAGGTTCACAAGGCAATGGAAGAAAACCCCCATGCTGCAGAATCCCTTTCAAAGTTCATATGTTTCTTTTCCTTGCAAAAGAGCCTGTTTTTTCTCTACATGACAAGCACCTCAAAACTTTTTACAACTGCACAAGTATCAGAGCAGATAAAACCTTTATCTGAACAGAGAAAAGAGAAGGGGTGCACAGCTCCATGTATTCAATCAGACCATGAGACAATTGTCTCCACCATCCTGCCAGAGCTTAAGGATGGATCTTTAAAATACCTCTACCCATGTTATTAAATGTCTGATTGCACTCAGTACAGTGTGGTCTGTGCTGTGTGTGAATCCTCATCTCCCCACAGATGAAATAACAGATGCTGATGTTTTGGAGGCAAATATGGATATCTCAGTAAAGAGAATGGTTTGTAAACCAATGAACTTGGTATATACCTCTGGCAGCAATCATTCTGCATGAAGCTGAATAACATGGATGGCAGTTAGTAGCAATTCATTTCCATCTGAGAATCTAAATTAGTCAAACAAAGCTGCAATAAGGCTTTTCAGAGATCAGGCACCAGTTCTTACCATGGCCTCAGGACCCTGCTCTGAATTTCTCACTGGCATGGCCAGACTTGCCCTAGCATGCTTGCCCTTTTGCATGACTGGCAACTTCTTCCAGATGTTCACACTACAGCTGTCACAGCCCAGAAACCTGGGCATGTTTGTACCCATATGGTATTCTTTTCTTATAGCTTTATTGAACACATCTATTGAAAGAACATATCTGTAAGAATCAACTTTCATTTCTGAATAATTACATATATTAAAATAAACTGAGTAACTGAATTCTAATGAATAATTCAAGCAGCTGTAATATTTGGATGTATAATCTGCCAGAGTGTTACATGATCTTATTTCCACTTGATTCCTGAAAGGAAGTGCCTTACAAGCAGTGGTACATAAAGTTGTCTCTAAACACAGACACCATCCATCGTAAACGTTTAATGTCCAATCATGAATTACAGCACCTGTTTTAAGTGATCAGCTACTAAAGGATATATATATAAAAAAAAAAAGGACGGAAATAGGGGTTTCTTTCAAAGAAGATTATTTCCTGCTGTTGAATTTCTACATCTCAATAAAGTACCAATTTCAGTCTTTGTTCTTGCAGCATCTACTGTATATATAGATGAAAACTGAAACAAAGATATCAGTACAGAATTTCAGTTACAGTACCAAGTATTTCAACCTCATTTAGCATGCACTGTGATTTAAAGCCTTAACTATCTGTTTAGATGTGATATACTACAAAACAGGCCCCACAAACCTTTGTTCCCCTTCTCAGTGTTTTTCTTATCAATCTTATCTACTATTGCAATTGTTTTTAGTGTTTCTGATAATTTTTAAGTAGTAATTATTATTGCACACACCCATATTCACATGCAAAAAAATTTACTCCATGGACCCCCTATGAAAAATTTCCTCTAATCAGAATAATCCTTTAAGAGTTAAGTGACAGATAATGAATAATGAAGAGTCAGCAATAACTGGTTAAAGTCAGTGCCTTACTAAAAATAAATAAAATGCAGAGGAAAGTAAAAATAATAGGATATAACAGAGAAGGGGGGAGGGGAAAGTGGGACATTTTTTGAATGATTCACATAAAGAAAAATGGGGAAAAATTTACAGTGGATCTGTTTCTCAGGGAGTTTGGTCCAAGTCTCACAGGCAAAAGTGAAGAGGCAGACTTCAGAAATATGAAGCAAAGAGAAAGACATTAAAAAATGGAGTGAGGGGAAGGACTTCATGCCACTTTTTCCTTTTGGCCTTTATACTCTACACACATTTTCCTTACCCTTACTCATACACGTTTGTCTGGGGGAAATGTTGGGATTGGGAAGTGATCCATGAGAATGAAGCAGCTTGAAAAGCATTATATTAGTCTGTGGAATAAGTAATACTTCAACCAAGTGAAGTAATGGAAACCACTTCACCCAAGTCATTTAAAATTGGACTGAATAAGGCACTGGAGATTATGCTGAAGGGAACAATTCTGCATTGGCAGGAGTATGGACAAGATGACTTAATAGATCCAGTGTCCATGTGCCAAATCCTGAGATCCGGATCCAGTTTTTATTACTCTATCTTTACTCAAGTTGAACTTCCATTCACATTATTGGGAGCTCATTCTGACACAAGGAAAAAATAACCAAGAGCTTCAGGATTTATATGTAAAACTGTGAATAAAACTTAACTTGTTGCATAATAATTATGAAGTGTGAGGGCAAAACTAATGAATCTATACAGAGCACTCCTTGAATTATTCCTAACAGTCTGACCAGAAAAATTACATTTTATCTAGTTTAATTGGTTAAGACACACAAGAATCAGTGAGGACCCTACCACTCACTTGAAATATGTCTCTGTGTGTATGTTATGCTGTTCCTGAAATGGGTAAAAATATCTGTTAATACAATATTACAATGAAAATTAAAGTGTAATTATGCTTTGCTATTTAAGTATGGGAACAGTATTAGAAACTTACATTAAAAAACACATAATGCAAATATAAGCAACAGCATTTTTTCCTTTTCTTCATTAAATACCGTTGTGGTATTTCAATGCAAATGGTAGAAGGTTTGGGGTAAATGGAGTCTGCTTTCCTCAGTCAAGAAGTGTGTGTAAAGGAATCAAGGCTCTTCAGAGATTCTGCTCAACTCTCTTTTGTTTCAGTTTTACAGAAAAATAGCACTAATTAAACTAAAATTAGTCTATAAATGCTATTAACACATTTAAAATGAGGGATTTGAGTGTTCTCTGGGGACAGAGACATGTATTATGTACATAACGGTTGGTTTAGATGCAGTTAAATAGTTTCAATTTTCACTTCATTCCCATTCACACCTGTTGCCTGCATAGATTATTCCTGGCAAGGAAATGGTGAATGAGTTCTCCCTGGCAAACTATAGAATGATCACAGACAGAAAAATCAAAGGCCATATTGAATGTATTGGGGGAGAAAAAAAAAAGTCAGAAAGATATCTGAAGCAGCAAATTCTACATTTTGTAACGTATAGAGATATACATGATTTATATTAAACTTTGCAATATGGAGGAGAGGATTGGGAACTGTAGCAAAGTAGAATTTCTTCCTTCCCAATAAAAAAGTCATGTTAATAGCTGGTTGGAGTCTTATTAAAATTTTTTACACCATACTGAAAATTTTAAAAGAAACTTTCTAATATTCATGCTTTTAAGAATTCTTGTTTATGCCTATACTGAGCACTAGTCTGTATGAAGGGATGAGATTTTTCCTATATCTTTCTGGACTAAGGTTATTGCCCAATACTATAAGGCTACAAAAAGTCATGTGTGTTCTCAGAATGAGAAGAACAGAAATCTTATCTGACCCTTTATTTTCTGGTTTTCTGATGGTTTGCTTTGGGGGTCCTTTCCTAGATCTACATAGAAGCTGTAGGAAACCTGGCATATTACCTTTAAAAATACCATGAAATCAAAGTGAAACTCAAAGTGAGCACATACGTGGAGGAAAGAGCTGTGGTTGACCATGGGCATGGGGGACCAGGAGGGAAGACATATAGACATAGTTATTTTTTGTATTGTTTGATTGCCTTAAAACTTCACAAAGCCCAAAGCATGTATCAGGTCTCCTGCCAGGGTCTTCAAGCACAATATAAAAATTAATTGCTGACTACAGAGCTTATGGTCTATACAGTGACCAGAACTGCTGCACTCCTCCCCAGGTTCAGCTATACCCTGTAGATGCACCTGATTTCTTGGACCATCATTATTTTTAAACCAAATGTCTCTCTGCTCCTTCAGGTATGGAAGGCATTGCATTCACAGTATGCTTCATCTGGAACTGTAGTTAAGTAAACTCAAGAGAACTCTATATAGGCAATGCAAAATCATGTGTGAGTTTTCTGTTGTTGTTTCAATAGACAGGGCTTGAGTAATGTCAGGGTTTATGGCTTTTATTTTATTTGGAGGGACTGCTTTTTAACGGAAGCAAGAAGCAGTCCTTGGACACAGTAAGTCACAATGTATAAATAGCTCTACTGAGAGTATAACAAAGACTCTTTTGTGCTCCTTTACTAGCACAGCCAATCACATATGCAACTTAGTAACATAAAAATAACTCATCCTTACTTATGACACCTATATCTTACCAAAAAATTATTAAGATATCCATTTAGAACTTCTATCAAAAGCACATTATTTTTTGAGCATTTATGAGAAGTCATGCAGAAGCTGAAGTTATTTTCTTTAATAATTGTAGAGAAATACAAGAAATTTGTTGTTGTTTGATTACGAAGTAGAATATACAGTTAATTCATCTTAAATTGGAATACATTTGTTGAATACATATGCTTCTCCATATGGTTTCATATTTATTTCTGCAAGGTGAATACAGTGACGGCATTTTTTTCAAATTAGAATCCAGATTTTTTTATTAAATCAAAACCAGTGGAGTTTCTTCTTAGCAAGCATTTGGGACCTCATTTTAAGCCATTTTAAGGAGGTCTGAAATTTATTGGATTTTAAATATATCCTTCTCTCCATCAAGAGTCTTTTAAAGGATAGTTTAATCTGTCTAATTTACATTCAGGAATTTCATTTTACATGCCAGGCTCTGGGACTGTCAAATCCTTTGGCTTTTCATTGTTATCAAACGTAATAAAGCAATCATATATAACCAGTAGGATGTATTTTTTTGATTTTTATCCAAATATCATTTTCAAATCCAATTTAGGTCATATAGGATGCCAATTTTGTACAGTTGAGGAGTTAGATGGATTTTCCAAAGGAAGATTATCAGTAGTAAGTATAAACATATGTCAGTTCATTAACTCTTTAAATAAAATATC